AGCGCCAGCCCGGCCGGGGCGCAGGTCCCGCCCAAGGCCGCCCGGTCGGTTCCTGGGCGGTGCCGTTGGGCGCACGCGGGGGGAGCGAGGCGGGTGCGCGCGAGCAGAAGAAAAAGAGGGGCTGCGGGCTCGAGGGGCGGTGAGAGTCACAGAGCAGCGCGGGGGAAGGAGCAGAGAAGTAGGAAGGCCAGAGGCCTTGTTGAGGCGGCCTGTGCCCCGTGCACCCAGGCTGCTCTGTGCGCCCTGGGGCGCCTCTGATGTTCTCCATCGGCTGGAATCGGGTGTTTCCCAGGCCTCTCTGCCCACATGGCCCCCGCATCGCTCCCAGTTTCCCATTGGGCTCGGCTGCAGCAAAGGGCAGGAGCCTGAAAATATCCGTGTAGAGATGCTACACCCCCACCCCCACCCCACCTTCTTATATACAAAAATAACCTCAAGCTGTATTAAAGACTTAAATGTAAGTCGTGAAACCATAAAACTCCTAGAAGAAAACATAGGCAGTAAAATCTCTGACGTTTCTCTTACAATATTTTTCTTTACTGTCTTTTCGGGGCACGGGAAACAAAAGAAAATAAATAAATGGGACTACATCAAACTAAAAACTTTTTGCACAGCAAAGGAAACCATAATCACAAGAAAAACACAACCTGCTGAATGAGGGAAGATATTCATCAACAATACATCTGATAGGGGGTTAATATTCAAAGTTTATAAAGAACTTATAGAACTCAACACCAAAAAACCCAAACAGTCCAATTTAAAAATGGGCAGAAGACCTGAATAGACAGTTCTCCAAAGAGAACAAGCAGATGGCCAATAGACATATGAAAAGATGCTCAACGTCACTAATCATCAGAGAAATGAAAATTAAACCCACTAGGAGATATCACCTCACCCTGTCAGAATGGCAATTACCAAGAATCAACAAATAACAAGTGATGGCGAAGACGTGGAGAAAAGGGAACTCTTGTGCACTGTTGGAGGGAATGCAGAATATGCAACAGTCACTTGTCTCTCACAGATTTTAACATTCTGTATTTGTGACTTTTGACCATTTGATTAAGAAGACCTGGGGTGGGGCGGGGGCTGGGTGGAGGGGGAAAAGGAAGGGGTTTGTCTGATTGGCTTTTTTGTCTTTGTTGTAGTGTTTGAGATTTTGACTTCTAAAGAATAAGCCAACCCTCCCAGACTACTGCCTGGTTTCGTCAAGAGTGGACTTTGTCCACACATCTAAGTATTTTCTGTGTGTGTGTGTAAAATGTGCATGTGTCCTTCCTTTCTGGGCTTGTATGTAGGACTTATTTGAAGAGATTTGCCAGTTTCTACTCCGCTGCGCTCTCTAGTGTCTTCGTGAAATACTGCAGCCCCCCGGTGGTGTAAATCACCATCCTGGGCTCCACCTCTCGTCTGCCTGCGGTGCTGCACACCCAGGTACATATTCCCTCAGCACCCACTTTTTCTCAACTGACATGGATAGAAGACTTCTGTACCCCAGACCCAGAATGCATATGATTTCCTTCACCATTTGGTTTGGTTCAACTAATCGCTAATGGGAAAGATTCTGTGTTGGTTTTTTTTAAAGTTTATCTTGTTCTCTTTTCATGGCAACAGGTTTTAATAGTTTATAGTTTCTCTTTAAGTTTTTTAAGTCTAAAGTCATTCTCCACATAATGACATTTCAGTCAATGATGGGCACCATATAACACAGTGGTCTCATAAGACTACTACTGTTTAGTGACGTCACAGCCATCGTGACGTCATAGCTCAAGGCTAATCTTATTTTTTTTAAAAACAATAAATGTGGTGTAGTGTAAATGTAGTGTTTATAAAAACAAAACCAAACTTAGATCATGGAATCGTACGGAGTGTATTCCTCTGTGTCGGGCTCCCTTTACTCAATGTTCCGTCAATGACAATTCTTCACGTTGTTGCTCTTTCCGCTCAGCTCTGTGTAGCATCCCTTTGAGTGAAGGCACCACACCACGAGTTACCCAGCCTCTGCTTTCCACTGCCGCCAGTCTGGGTGCTCAAAGCCAAGGAGGGAAGAGACACGCCAGTAAGGAGATCAGGAAAGGAAGTCAAATCCGGATTATTGAAACGCCATTCCTTTTACTTTCCGTTCCCCACCGTGATACATCAAAGGCAGGCTGTCAGTAGAAGCTTCTTAGAAACGTTACAGTTGGAGGGAGGATGTTCCAGGTAATATATCTGCACCGTCAGATCCACTCCCTTCCTCTCTCCATCAAGCGCTCCCCCCCAGGAAGCTGACTGTATCAACTCATAAAATCCGACAGGCTCCTGTGTTTTCAGTCTTCCTCTTGGATTCGGCAAATAGGAAGTTCGGGGTGGAGGCGAGGTGGGGAATGAGAGCAGGGTATCTATTCCCTGGCTTCTTTGTTGTGAGGGGCCTCCGGCTCATTGTGTCCCCAACAGAAGTCACAGCTCTTCCTGAGGAACCCTGCTCTTCAGAACCCTCTCCTTCCAGGTTCCCATTTGAGTTTGCCCACTTCTCAGTCGGGACATGTTTTAAATGTGCCTTGCTAAGCTCTAAGTCAAAAGAAGGAAAAGTGGAATACCCTCTATCTCTCACACACACACACACACACACACACACACACACACACCCCTCTTGTCATGGCTTTTGCAAGCACTTGATCCCTATTTCATTTTTAAAAATACTGTCCTACAGCCCAACCAGCATGGCTCAGCGGTTGAGCATCAACCTAGGATCCAGGAGATGGAGGTTCAATTCTGGTCAGAGCACGTGCCCGGGTTTCGGGCTCGATCCCCAGTGGCAGGCATGCAGGAGGCAGCCGATTAATGACTGTCTCATCATTGATGTTTCTCTCTCTCCCCCTTCCTCTCTCTGAAATCAACAAAGACATATTTATTAAAATTTTAAAAATATAGTGTCCTCCAGGTGAGGTGAGTGACCAGACCACCCACACAGCTGGCCTGCAGGGGTGTCTATGGGGAGTTCAGTACTTACAGAGGCAGAGCCAGCAACAGGCTCGCAGTTCCCCCGTTGCCCATCGCATCTGTGAGGCGTCCAGCACAGTATTCATCACGTTCTGAAAGAGGAACTCAATGCCCTGGCCTTGGGCTGTGAGGCTTGTTAGCTGCACAATGGAGGGACACACCAATCCCTGCCCCGGCGGGATCGCGGCCTGGTATCCAAATCTATCGTTCCAGCTGTGTGACATGACAGCCGTGAGCCTCCAGCCTGCTCTCCTTCCTTGCATTTCACGGCTGGGAGAGCCCTGGATTCTCCCGCATCATCAAGGGCTAGGAGTTTAGGCTCATATTGAATATATCCTAAGATTTCAAGTCAGTCATTTATAAAGAAAAATACAGAAAATACTGCTACCCTTTAGAATTATGTGTGTGTGATTCAGAAATTTCGGCACATATATCACGGAAATAAACTCAGTGCTGAAGCTGATAGAAGACTGCTAATGCCATAGGTATCACCAATGTCAAGTATCTGTGTGCAAGTGTTCACTCGATTGGCTCTACAAGTGAATGGATGAACTTGGTAGCATATTTATATGCAAAATACTATTTTACAATTGTATATATTAAGCTCTTTACAAAATTTTAATAATAATATTGCAAACAGTCTGGGTACCAGTGCCATCAGCATAACTCCCTACAGCCTGATTCTGTCCTGCCTTGAGCAGACTCCCTCCACTTCCACCGGAGGGCGCTCTGTCCCGAGCAGCTGTCTGTCTGCTGCCAGCCAGTGCACAGAAAGAAAAGCGACTCAGTCTTGCGATGCTTCCTATTTGACTTCTAGTAGCTTCTTCACCAAAAGCATTTATTTAGGATCTGCCTGGAGAAAGAAAAGCAGCAGCCCAGTGCCGGGCCCTGCGGGGCTGGGGCTGGAGAGGAGAGGATTTCTCTCGGGGGAACGGCACGAGGTGATCGCCGCGGGACTGGGGACGTGGGGATGGAAAATGAAGGCTGCCACGCCACCGAGCTGGACATGTAACTGCTTTTATTTTGTGATAAAAATGCTTTCGTATAAATTTCATCTTAACTACTTTTAGAATGAAACTTTGAAAAGTAAAAACAAAGTGTGCATTTTCCTTACTATATATAGTTAGGAATATGCAGTCATTTTATTGGTTATTGTTCTTCTCATACAAACAGATATAATATCACTCTTAAGAGAAATGTACACAAGGAAGGGGCCGGGGTACCAGAGAGTTGGGGTGGGAACCTCGGGGCATAGGACGCGTCTTATCAAAAGGCCATCATGCGTTCAATGTATGGATGAGGCCAAGTCCCCAAACCACCTGCCGACAACACATTCCACCTTTGGTTCTTCTCTGTACCAGGACGAACTAGCACATTTAATCGTAAGGTGACATAAGGAACTCGAGCATCACAGCGGATGGCTTACATTAAAATCTTTCAACTCCCAGCCTCTCTTGCCCTCAAACCTCTACCTCCCTCACCATCATTTAAGTCAGAAAAGGATGCTTAACACAAAACAGAAGAAATAAACAAATACATAAAAAAATCTATCCCCAGAGGATGATGGAAGAATTTATAAAAATAAACCAAAAATGGGGGGCTGACCCATACATGGCATAAAAGCTGTGTCCCCTTAAAAGTTCGTCTGCCATTCAGAACCAAATGAGAAAGTGAGCCTCCACCTTACCTTCTCTGGTATTAGATTTGGTACAACTCAAGGGTCTTTAAAATCTAAGGGCCTGACAAGGTCTTGAACGGCAGTATCTTCCTCCGTATCGCTGAGGCCTGTTGTCTGTGACGGCAGCTTTCACAGTCCCTCCCCGAAACCCAAAGGATTCCAAGGAGAAACAGCGGGTGGGGCCTACACAGTGCGTGGAGAGCGGGGAGGTGATGAAATAGTCAAGCTGCTGGGTCAGAGCTGATCCTTTCGATAAGAGGGGCTGGCACAGGATGGCAGAGCAGGGCGGGCGTGGTGGGGTCCACAGTGACTCAGTCATAAGGGTTCTCCCATCTGTGAGTTACCAGATGGGTCCAAGGACAGAGGCGGCATTGGGAATGATAAGGCGTTACACACTGCGAAGGGGGCTGCTGGAGTTGCCGCGAGAGAAAACATACAGAATGAACAAACCACCTGCATGTATTAGAGCAGAATGAATTATCTTTGTTGGCTCATGGACTTGGGCAGGACTGAAGCATGTCATTTGTAGACTGTCACACTAACGGACACACGGGGCTTCTCTGTACGGGGCACAGACAGATGCGGCCTGTGGGGAGCACTGAGGAACACTGTCAGCCAAGGCAGGAATGAAGACTATTACTCAAACCACAGCGCAGAAGGCACTTCAGCTATTAGTATCTACCAACTGCTCCAGGAGAACTGATCTTCCAGGTGTCGCCTCATAGCACCAGGCAGATGCGACAGTGGCCACAGGACCAACTATTTGCTGACTCAGGGAGAAAGGGGAAACAAGCGATTGTCTTCCTGTTTCTAGTGTTACCTAGAACACTTCTGCCCTTGACAGAGGGTCATGGAAGTTGCCAAGACCAAAAGTACAAAGAGCAGACTTAGGTGAGATGCAATTCCACACTGAACAGGAGGGCGGCAAGGCCAGTGGGTCTGTAACTGCCCATTATCATCTAGACGGTGACCCTAGCAAGGAAAAGCATCCCTGGTTAAGTGTCTTGTTAGTTACCCAAAGGGAGATGTCATGACTGCTTTCAAAGGAAGGGAAATGGTAGCAAAAAGCAGCAAAGGCCGCCTCACAGTTCCTCCCTTTCCAGCCCTCTTACAGGACTGGCTTCAACCCTAGAAAACAAGGCCAGCGTTCCATTTCCTGCACTTGAAAATCCTTGTGTTCGGTGAGAACCTACTGGGGGCACCAGTAACCCAACCCACGCCGTGTGGGGGGAAGACCGGCGACAGGCCTGCGGCCAGGAACAGGGTGGGGAAGTGGAGGCTGGGAGCGTGACGAAGGGAAGCCGACCCTCACGGGCTCCCTCGAGCCAGGGGACAGTTCCATTCTAGGAGTGAGGGAAAGTCACAGGAGACTTTGTCTTCTGTGAGGACTGACGGGAGGAAGGCTCAACACACAGACCAGCGTCACCGGCTGGGTGAGGGCCGCACCCGGGGGCTCTGAGACCTGGGAGTCACTGCTTGGCAGGAAGGGGAGGGACCGGCCAACGGGGACTCTTCTTGCATCAGTTAGTTAATCTCCTGGTCATTCCAACATTCCAAATCTTTGTGTGTTTTTTTTTAAAGGGGGTCACAGTACCCATACTGCCAAGGATAAAACTTCACACTGCCCAGGCCCACAAATGGAAAACGGATTCTCATCTTTGTTCCTGTGAGGTTCACACAAAGCCCCGCACGCAGGCCCGAGACTCGGTGCAGCCTCTTGAAGGGCTCTCCTCTCCCCAAATTGGGTTTAAAGAAAAATGTTTTGCTCTTCTTCTAGGAATGCCATTACGTAGGAGACTGCGGCATGTCCACTTTCTAAAGAAACACAGAAAGGTTTATGCTGAGAACCATAACCAAAGGAAGCCCTGTGAGAATCCCAGGGGTGCTGGAAGGCGGGAGGGGAAAGGAGGCGGAGTCACGTTTTGGAGCAGGAAAGAGCAAAGGCACAAAGGACGGGCCCTGTGCCTTGCTGGTGGGGCTACAGCCAGACAGGTGCAAAACCCAAAGCACCAAATGAGGTCCAAAGGATTTCCAAAGCTGAGAAGACGAGACAGGTCAGTTCGGCTAGAATTCCAGGGCACAGTTCCCAGGTAGGTCTCTACTGTAGCATCTTCTCATGGATCTGGCAGGAGCCTCCAGGATGCAAAATGCAGTCCGAGCTGCAAGAATGTCTGAGCTACAACAGGCATCCGTCCTATTCTCCAAATGAAAGAGTAAACATGGTTCCAAGTCTTGTATTTATCTTGCATGTCCACAAAGGTGGCTTGATGGGCGAGAGACCGGAAGGAGGCTTGTCACCCGCCCAGAGCCCTGCAAACACTCGCTGAAGCTGATGGAACTGCTTCCACTGCATTATCGGAAAAGCTAAGAGCATCTCCTCTCTTCTGCCTCCAGAAGCTGGTTCCAGAGACTTCTTCATTTCTCTCCCGGATGACCTTCATTTGTCCTCAGCAGCATTTACAATAGGCAGTTCTGTCCCGACACCGGAGGCAGACTCTTTCACGCGTAAACCTGCATGTTGCTGCGTGACGGCTCGGTCATGTGTGTCCCAGGTCCCCGCTGACCTCCTCCAGCACCCCCGGGAGTGGGGCTGGTGGTCACATCTGACCAGTCAGAAGCAGAGTGGGGTGATGAACTCGACCACTGGTCAGGAGACTCCGGGGACGGTGTCAGGTAGGGATGCTCGCCCTGCAGGTGGCCACTGTGGCTGGGCGTTCGCTCGGCAGCATTCGAGGAAGCATAGCTGTGCTGGGAAGGGGGTGTGGGGTACTTGCCCACAGAGGCTGGGAAGGGATGATAGGTAGGGAGGATGGTCTGAGCCACCTGCCCATCCTGCTGGGGCATCATGGCAGTGGGGAAAGCCATACTGGGCAAACGAGCCATCTCTGGAATCTGGTACATGGAAGGCAGGGGGCCTGCCACAGGGGGAGGGCAGTTGGACTGAGGCTGGGATGCCCCGGCTGGTTGGGCAATGCCACCTTTGGGGATTAGCTGGAAAGTCACAATGGGGGGCAAGGGCTCCCGGGGGGCGGTCATATGCTTCCCTTCCGGCGGCCTGCTCTGAGGAGCTATGCCAGGAGGGGTGCCCTCAGCGGGTGCCAGTACCATACCAAACATCTCATTGTACTGGCTCTCATTCATCTCCATGCGGTTCATCCAGTCTGCGGGGACAGTGACTGGATGCAGCCTACCCAGGCTTCCCGCCCCGCCGCTGCCCGGGGGGACCATGTGGTGGTGGGACAGCAGCTGGCTCACCGAGGGAAGCACAGTGCTGGCTCCGTGAGCCAGAGGCTGCACCTCATGCAGGTTAGAGAAAGACAGTGCATGCTGCGCGTGCACTGGGGCGGGGGGCGCGGCCGCGGCCAGCATGGGGTTGGGGGAGGCCTGTAAGAGGCCAGGGGATGTGATCATTGGGGAGGACGTGGTATCAGACACATACGTGTGAGGAGACTCCAGGGAGTCGACGGGGGACAGAGTCACTGAGCTCTCGGACAGCTGGCCCTTGTCACTCAGCGACTTCTTCCTCCTACCCCCCTTGGCCTCCTTGGCCTCCTTGGCAAGGTTAGGGAGGCTGGTGGGCATGGTGCTCTTGCTATGGGGCCGCCTGGGCTTCTTGCCCATGGGGGTGTGTTTGAGGCTGAGGAAAGACCTGTTGGGCCCGCAGATGACGGGGGAGAGGGCAGACGTGAGCACGGCGCCCGGGGGGCTGGGGGTCACATTGTACTCGTCCAGCAGGCGCACGATGTCATGGTGCATGCGCTCCCGGGCCACATCCCGGGGCAGGCGGTCCATGTGGTCTGTGATGTCCCGGTTGGCAAAATGGTCTAACAGGATCTTGGCTGCTTCATAGCTCCCCTCCCGGGCAGCAAGAAACAGAGGCGTCTCTTCCTACAGAAAAGGCCCACGAAGAGCACATTTTAATAACCCTCGAGAATAGAGCAGTGTTCCTCGATCTGCTCATTACTGGCCCCCCTAGACATTTTTTCCAAACTGCCTCCCCACGTGAAATTTTAACACCACGGATAAACTGTATCTCTAGCTATGTGCTGAACGGATGTCTATGCTTTAGACGTAAGAGTGAGGTTATTTCACCCCAACCCAAGGACCCATTTTGCCTGTCAAGGGCAGTGTCTTTGTAGGTGGGAATGGGCGACCTCAAGCATGACATGGAGCCAGAGACTTGCTTAAAGGAGCCCTGAGCTCATCAAAATAGGAGAAAGTCAGCAATAAGAAAGGTAGCATGTACAGAGCTGGGAAAAATAAGAGAAAGTAGAAGAAAGCAGAGAGAGAACATGCACAAAAAGAACTACAACAGGGGACGAGAGAAGGTGAGCCAGAGAGGGGAAGCGTAACATAAACTCAGAGGAGGAAAAGCGAACTGGAAAACACCTGGTGTCCAAGGACAGGGGAAAAAGGCAGCAGGAAAGCAAACGGGAGAAATGGAAGTGAGCTCGAGCAGCACACAGAACAGCAGAAAGGGGGATGTCAGCGAAGAGACACGCAGAGAAGGCTGTGCCCAAGTTTGTACAGACCAGCCTGGACCGGCCCGAGTGCTGAGCGGGCAGAGGGCCCAACCCCGACCCTTCCCGGATGAGCCCAATGTCCTTCCTCAAGCTCTCTGGGCCCAGTCCCTTCCCTACCTGCTTCTGTCTCTGTCTATACTCATCACAGGAGGAACTGTGGGGGAAAAGGGGGTGCCTTACATCCTGGGCACTGCTGGCTGCCTCCAGCTCGGGGCCCAGACCGTACCTTGTTGTCCTGCATGTCTCGGTTGGCTCCGTTCTTCAACAGCAAAAGTGTCGCCTCCACATTGTTGACAGCAGCTGCCCAGTGAAGGGCAGATTTTCCTGCAGGGAGAGACATACGGATGAGCGGACAGGGTACAGGAACACGTCCGGTTCCTAGTGAGGAAGCACCGTGGCACGTGTAAGGAAACTCGGAACTTTCTGGAGAGCAGCAGGGAGTCAGTTCTCTGTGGGGGCCCGTGAGAAAAAAATCGAAGTATTATCTTCTTTCCCTGTTCTGGAAATACTGCAGGACAGGCTGCTTGGCCTTCAGAAGACCTCCAGGTATGGGGATCATTTGTCTATGGTGCCCCGTCCTCCATGTGGCAGAATCTACCCTGTCACACACTGAAAACAGTGACCTATTTCTGTATCACATGCCAGAATGTGTATTTAGGATATAGAGTCCCCCATCCCCAGTGAATTCAGCTCTCATAGTTCGCATGTCAAGAGTAACATGCTAAGGAACTTATCAGAAAACCTTTCATAGACCTGCTTTGAAGCCCTAAACCTTCACTAACAACCCCTTCCCATCTTCATCTATGCACCTCCAATGGCTCAGTCCTCTGAGCTCAATATGTTAAAAGAAAGACTGACTGAATGGTCAGTGGATTTGGGTCTGAGATAGATCTTTAAGGATCATATAACACTCTCCTCCTTAGAGATGCCTCCCAGGTAAGAATCCCAACGCCAGCCTTGCCTACCATGGTCATCTACCGCATTCACGTCTGCTTGGCAGTTGATCAGCTCTGCCACCATCCCCTCCACAGCCAGGCGAGCAGCCAGGATCAGGGGTGTGGTACCATCATTCATCCTGGCATCTAGATCAGTCACTCGGTTGCGGATTAGAATCTAGAAGACAGAAAAGAGAGTCACCTGGATAAAGAACATAACGAAGCTGAGAGGAGGAAACGAGAGCACCATAGCTGAGGCCATGCGGTAAGTTCCTGTAAGCTGAGGTCAAGGAGTGCCTTGTTATTTTTGTGCCCAGTTTCTACCATGGCCAATCAACAGATGTTTGCTGAATGAATGAATGAGTCCATGAGCAAAAGTGTGCTCAAGAGACAATGGGACCATGTAAAGTGAAGTCCTTCTACTTTCCCAGGAAAGAAGAGGTATGTGGGAAAATACCACCCCAACTGCGGTGGACAGAATACTTCCAATTCCCCATGAGAATACAATACAAGGCACCGGGAAGCACACTGTGAACTCACATCAAGAAAACCACCAAGGAGCACATGGAAGCCCCTATGGTCAGTTAAACCTACAGGCAGGAGCCGACACTATCAAAGGCTTATCACAGGTACCACTCCCATCTGATCTACTCATTTGGGAGGCATTTGGCACCTCAGAAAACCACGGTGATTTAACAATCAGAGGACTGATGCTATCTGCTTTTGGCCCCATCACTATCTGGCTGTAGATAATTAGGTCAATTTTCCTGTCTCCCTTTTTCTGCTTTCCCATTCTGCAAGCATGACTCTGGCATCTGCTTTATTCTCTGAAAGAATTATTTAGTGAACGTCATGGGAGGTTAAGTGCCTTAACAAAGGTAAGACATTACAGATCCTGCTCTTCACCTGGAAAACGCCTTGGGCGTCAGCTGCCACGGCGGCGTGGAGAGGGCAGCGGCCCATGTTGTCCTGGGCATTGGCGTCTGCGCCCGCGTCCAGGAGGCGCTTGGCAGCGTCCGCCCGTGAGTAGCGCGCTGCGAGGTGCAGGGCCATCTCCCCGGTGCGGTCTGTCTGGGCCTGGAGGCTGGCCCCCTGGTACACCAAGTCTGTGATGATGTTGGCAGACGAGTCCTCTGCATCTTCATCTTCGTCACTCATGTCTGAGCTGCCTCCCCGGAGGGAAGCCAGCATCAGCGGGGTGCACCCATCTACAGGAGAGGAAAACCCCAGAGCGCTCAGGAGGAGAAAGACATTGAGGTTCGATTCACCCTGCTGTCGGAATAGTTTGGGAAACAACCCTGTGCTTCCTGCGGTAACTGGCCACCTGCTTGTCCTCTGGGACTGTCCCTCCTGTAAAGAGCAACGGACAGCAAGAAGGGGGCTCTTCTCCAAGTTAAGCAACCTTTCTGTTCAAGTCTCTAAGTGCTAGGTTAAAAATATAAAATATTCACTATTAATAGAACTATAGTCACTAAGGTATCAGCTAAACTAATTCCCTATCCCTCTGCTTTGGGATATGATTTTTCTGTTGTTCTAAGACCTAACCCATATAATCGGCCCATTTGCTCGCAAGCACACTGTATGCGAATCGATGTGAACCACCCCCCCGCTTCTCATGTGTGCTCATAACGTCTGCAGGCCTGCACTCCTTAAGCATCTGTTCCCTCAAGCTGATTCGGAGTCTGTGAAATTGGCAGGGGGCACGTCACCAAGCAGGACAAACTAGGGAATGACAACACAGAAGCCAAGGCAGGCATGGGCTCGGGAAAGGGGGAGGCTAGGGTGCCGACCTGGGCCCCGGACGTTCACGTCCAGCACATCCACCTCCTGCTCGGCCTGCGGGGGCGTGAGAGCCAGTGAGGGTGTCCTTCGGATGTCCGCGGCTTCGAGGTGCTGCTGTGTCCACGGGCGTCGGTCGATGGGGTCGTCTTCTTCTGAGAGTAAAGCTTCATCTTCGCCCTGAAAGGGGACGACCACTCTCGATGTGAACCTGGCTGACCACCAGGAGCTGTGGCCCCAAAGCTGGCCCAGAGCCTCCTGCCCAGCTTTCTCCCAACCCTGACTCTAACCCTCAGATCTGCACCCACATCAGCCTCCCACGGCCCTCATGATGTGGCCCCTGCTCACCTGTCCTGTGTCACCTGTACAACTCTCCCTACCTCCACAGACAGCCCAAACTCCAGGCTTCAGCCTTAATATGTGACCTATCTTACCTATCTGACATGCTATTTATAGGTCCCCAAAGTGCTGTTTTCTTGCTTCTGGGCGTTTGCTCATGTTCCCTCTGCCTGCCAGGGTCTCTTCCAGTCCTCTGATTAACTCCTGCCTCCCCTCCTTCAAATGACTCTGGACTTTAATTCCTCTTGTTGGTCCTGGAGAGGACTCTGCTCACCTCTCCTTAGCTGATCACATACTAGGTGCTCGCTGGCGCCGGGGCCTCCACTGCAGTCTCTGCCACTAGACTAAGGTTCCCGAGAAAAGGCAATGAGCCTTTTTTCAAGGCTGCTTCCCGTATGAACACAGTGCCCGGCACAGAGCAAGCTCCAGGAAATATTTGTTGAGGAATAACTGTTACTGTAATTTTAAAAGCAGCTACCCTTTACTGAATATCTAGTATGTGACAGAGAATAGGCAAGGCACCTGACACATTTAATCCTCACAACAGCTCACAGGGAAAAGAATTATTAATATCCCTACTAGTAGTGGGTGTGCTGATTTATCACACCCACGGGACATGCACATGTCCCAGCCACATGGAGCTACTGACGGCCGGCCTCCTATTTCACCCCAGCCTCAGCCCAATCTACCTCTTACTCCTAAGTGGTGTTCATTTCCTGGGCCCGAGATGAGGAGCCTCTGAAGTTGATGGTCACTGGCTCTCTTCACTGTTTAATCCCACCTCCCCTTCCAGAAGGGGAAAAGCCCGAAAGAACAGGGGAGAGATGGAGCCGTGCTGGAAATGGCTGTTTCCATGCCCCAGTCCTTTCTCGACTACCATCTATGGTCCTTCAGGAAGGAAGCACTGCTTGTTTTATTATTTTTAGGGTTCTTATTGAAAACATACATAGGTAAGGTAAGGCCATTGATGGCCTAGAGATCGCCGCCTTCCCTGACAGCCTGGGATAGCTGCCGCCTGGGCAACATATAAAGATGATCACTCCCATTGGGGACGCTCCAGCTACCAAGGACAGAGGCTGAGATGTGACGGGAGAGTGGCTGATGGTGGCCAGCTTACCTTGGCTTTCTTGGGCTGGGGCCCCTCATCATCGACCCAGTGTTCACTTGTTCCAGAACCTATCAGGTTAGCCTCTGAGACTTGCATTGAGAGGTTCCTGATGTGCCAGGAGTAGGAGGGGGAAAACGAGAGTAGAGGTGTATCATCAACTAACACGAAGGATTTCCATGCTTTTCCCACCATGATGCACTCTCACTGCTAGACCGGGACTTTAAGGGGCTTTGGCCCAGAAAGGATGGGCGGCATTTTAAATCCCGTTACCGTAGTAAACATCCTTTCCCTTCCCACTGATCAGGAGCTTACAACGAAAGCGTGCCTCGACACAGAGGCCGAGCACCCACGGGGTAATAACGCACAGAACAGGAGCACCCAGGCTCCGGCTGCGACCTCAGTTACTCAGGAGGAGCTCGGAATGAGGGGCAGGTGTGGTAATGTGGCGTGGCCAGAGCTCACACCTAAAAGTCACGACTGAACAAGCCCTGCTTTCTGATTTAGCCCTGCCCGTCGCCACTGCGAGGGGCTCGCTGGCAGCCGGCTTACTTCAGCCCCACGGCATCCTGCCCCACCGGCTCGCGGCGCTTGTGGTTGCTGGAGTCCCGGCGCAGCGTGAAACCTTCGGGCAGCCAGAGGGAGCCGTGCTTGCGCTTTCGTTTCGCCATGATGACCACCAGCAGCAGCAGGAGCAGGATGATGACAACGGCGATGGCCAGCAGATAGAGAAGCTGGGTGGGCTTGGGAATCAGGGACTCACCTGGAGGTGCACCAAGGAAACACCCACCTCTCAATACCAGCTTTACATTCACTGAGGGGGCTGCTGAGCTCACAGCTGAGGCGGGAGCTGCAGGCTGAAAGGTGCCCTTTCCTCTTTGCCCCAGGGGATGCCTCCCCCACACCTTCCCCCCATCAGCAGAGCTACTCACTGACGACAGAGACCAGGGGGTAGGACAGGGTGCCCTGGATGGCGTGAGAAGCCAGGAGAGCCGCGGCTGCGTCCGTGTTCTTGAAGCACTGGTCTGAGTCTTGGACACACTGGCGGTTGTCAATTTCCAGAAAGGCCTTAGAGCTGCGGGGGTGCCGAGGGAAAGGAGAGAGGGGAGTGAGGGGTCCGAGAGGGTCGCACGAGCCCTAATTGACACCTGCAGTGCCAGCCTCTGCCCCTGTGACGCTGCCTCCTCCAGAAAGCTCTCAGAGATTAAAATACGTTTCCTTCAGATCCTACACACTAATCCTTACCTAGGGAGCGTCTCACCTTCCCTGGCTTGGTGAAGACCAAGCTTCCTGACTGAGGCAGCACACAGCTAAGGAGCCAACGACTAATACGAGAGAGAGGTCCTGCCGAAGGGGTTTGAGGCGACCTGGCAAAAGGTTTAATCCTAGTATCTGAGGCAGCTTCCTGACACCCTGCCTCCCGCTGGCTCCAGCCCACCTTTCAGGTTCCCAAGACCAAGGCAACTTTACCCTTAAACGTAAACACTGGGACCATGTGTTTGTTTTACCCGGTGGGCTGCTCTGTCTGAACTTCCCATTTTTACAGACTTAGTTACCACGTCTGTGTATAGCAGTGCTCGGCTCTATAAAATTCAGCTTTAAGAAGCTCAGACACCAAACACCTACCCAGCCACCTCCTGCTCTTGATCGTCAGGAAGGGACCTGCGTGCCATCCTCTGCTTCCGCATGGCAGCTGACTTCTCGCCGTAGTAGGGGTAGACCATGAGGGCCCCCTGAGAGTCCCGCTTGATGCGCAGGTTGGTGTGCAGCAGGGTGCCCAGCGCCCGCAGGAAGCTGCGTGCGTCCTGAAGCAGCTGTTCAGGGGGCATCAGCACCACAATCACCAGGGTGCCCTCCGCCAGGTTCTCTGGCTGGTCGGCAGCACAGTCCAGCCCGTCCCAGCCGCACTCCTCGCTGTTGCAGCCCTGGTCACAGTGGTCATCTCTGAAGTGGTCTGCGCAGTACTTGTCATACCTGGCGGG